GATGATGATGATGATGATGATGATGATGATGATGATGGTGATGGTGATGATGATGATGCTCGTCGCACAGACAACAGAGCGACCCCTCCAGTTATGTCCTGGTCATGAACTGCTTCTGGCCAGTAGGCACTTTCAGCATAAACGTTCTTATCGCGTAACCTGGCGGCCGCCAAGTACACATCAACCGTGGACCCAGTTGGATCACGTAGTCATCAGCCACAATTCAAATCTGCCGTTCCTTTTGGGGCACACAGATCACTCAGATCACGGCATGTTGCGTAGACAGTTCGCTTTCCTTCAGACCCTCGCAATTCGACAGGAAGCATACCAATCCACCATAGCTCAGCAGCATCAATCTGAGCTAGCTCAACAACTCTACGGTCAATCACTACTGTACTGGTAGCAAACTCATTGGCGAAGCATTGCAAATTGGGAAAAGCTATTTTAGCGGCGCTCAGTTTTGTTTCGCGATAAAATCAAATCACCACTGGATATTGCCGAGACCACTAGTCCTGATTGATGCCAGGAAGTCCGTGTCAGCAGACAACGAGTGTGACGACGCACGTAAATTCCTCATACACCAAACGATGAAGAGTCTAAGGATAGACAGTTCTTGTGGACATTGTCACCTCGGTAGATGGAGGAGGCTTTGCTACCGGAAGCAGCCATGCCTTATATTAGCTGATACGATCGACTTGCTCTAGAAGGCCAACAGGCAGCGGACGACAAGTGAAACGATAATCAAAATCGTCGACTGGCGGGACACTTCGAAGAACATTTTATGTTGTCTCCTGTAACAACCTCTGCAGATAAGTGATCGAAATCTGAATCTGAATCTGAATTGCTCGTTGGAAGAAGCACGATATATCGATACTGAAACATGAGAAAGCACCAGGACGGTCTGTATCCAGATCGCTTCAAAGAAGGTGGAGAATTAATGGTGGCCTATCTAAAAAATGCTCAGTTATTCCCGTATACACAAAGGATATGTGGAAGCTGTGTACAAACCACCGTGGTTTCGGTCTGGTAGCTGTCTCATCGAAGCTGCTCCGTGGTCCTATTCTTCGAAAGTTGACTGAACGCAGAGAGAAAGACGGATCCGCGAAAACTAATCCGGGTTCCGTCGTGTAAGAGGATGCATCGATCACATTTTTACCTGGTAGATTTTCACATAGTGACTGCTTCCGACAACCAACAATGGTTGTGTTCCTTTACTTGAAAGCTGCCTTTGACTTTGGGGAGCAGAGCGGTGCCCCATAAATTATTGACCGCCGAGTTGAAGGGCCTTTGGTTGGGTGATTGATCGTCGACACCTGTTCTGTGAATTTTGGCAACGTCTGTGGCAGTATCCCGTAAACACACCGATGACCGCTCTGTTGTATTTGCTTATGTCCCAAAAGACAGTAGCTTTGCTACACTCAAGACAGCTTTTACGACGCTTCGAGCTTGTTGTTGTGGCGGGCTCTGAGTTCAGTCGCACACTATACCGTCTACAGTACACCGCGCCTCCAGCGTGCATATACTCAGATTCCAATAATCGAGTTAGATAAGCCCTTTACTGCATTCGAAGCTGGCGGGAACCTATACCAGTTTCGGCGCATTCCATTCGGAGTGACAAACGGACATCAAACAATATCATCAAGGCCGAACAGGTGAAAGACATTCGCTTACATTGATGACGTTGCTGAATATGGCAAAACATGAGGTGAACATGATGATAGGCGTTCCTCCCAAGTCGCTAAAATATACAACATTACATTGAACCGCAAAAAAGCAGCTTTGTAAGCTCTCCAGAGGCATTACAAAACCTGACCGAGGACGCATACGCCCCATGAGAAAACCCCTATTTCCACAGAACGGAAAATCGCAAAGAGCCGTCGGTCCGTTCGCCTACTGTTGACAGCGGCGTTTCCTGACAAAGTTCATCCTTTGGTTAAAAACAAAATATTTTTGCTTCTGGAGTGTGTCCGAAGGGCATTTCAGAATCTCAAGCAAGAATTAGAGAATGTGATGGTCGTTACTTTCGACTATAACATCACTCTCGTCGTCGAAACGGATGCGTCTGACATCGCGATTGGTACATCTACGAGCCAGGGCAACTAGTCGGTCGCCTTTTTCTCCTGGACCTTGACCGCGAGCGAAAAAACATTCCGTTGTCAAAAAAGGGACACGTGCTATCGTCTAAGTGATCCGCAAATGGCGCCACTATCTTTTCGGGAGACATTTCAAACTGATTACGGATCAACGTTTAATAGCAGCTTAAAATCTAGACCAGTGCTGTTGATTTAGATAAGATGCGCTTCGGTCTCAACCCAAAATGCCTATTCGTTGATATAATCGGAAATGTCTTGCAGTCTGTTCAGATCCAGCGTATAACTGCCGTCCGTAAACAACTACAGTATTGGATATCGATGAAACCGACATCCTGTCGCATGAATCAGTCGCCATGAAAAAAGGAGGCAAGCGTTCACTGCGAAACTCTTTTCCTAACTATCGACCCAACAGAACCGGCCACGGTTGCTTCCGTATCTCCACCGGATGCGACGAACAATCAACGGCGCCGTTTTCGCATCCTAGTTCCTAAGTTCCAGCAACTGGCGCTCAATGGAAATTGAGCCCAGCTTACAAGCAACAGGGTCCTGCGGCTTATTCCACTGTAGGAGATAAAAACCTCCAGATGAATCCTCATAATTCCTCCTAGATCCATCAACTGAAGTGATCCGACTAACGTCGTCGGTGTGATATTGAGGTTACCTATAAATGTGTGATCCGAGCTCAAGGAAACTCATTTGGTTAAAGCGCGAACTTGCTGACCGGAAGGTTTGTGGTTCGAACCCAGCCTATGCATGCATACTGCCCCTGTTTAGGCTTGGGCAAGCTGGCGGTATCTCAGCCCTCGTGCCTCTGTCGAGCGGCCTGACAGCCATTCACCGAAAGGTGTTACAGCTGAATCATTATTATTCCCTAGATCTCTATCTGTTGATCAGTGAAGTGGGAGGCCCTGTGGTTGCCGTTTGGCCACACATTCATTAGACACACTGGACTACAGAGTAATACACAATAATGTCCAGTCTATCTAACTTTCCAGGCCTGACTGAAGTTTGACTAACAAATTTTTAGGCGATTCGACCCGTGAGTCAAGAACCGTCTGTTTAATTGTGGAGCTCTTCGGTTCATGGGGATTTTCGATCATAATCACTCGTTCCTCATATAAGGTCTGACTTCAGAGGATTTCCACCCCAATAATTGTGAACTACATAAATTTTTCAAAAGTTCTTATGAGCGCAGTTTATGTGAGTATTTTATACAGCCTACAGTCACTCATCCCTTCGGCCACTCTAAACAGTGTTACTCTCAACTGCTTTTGCTCCTCAGTAAAGCCAGATGTGGCACACCGAATATATGCACAACGTGCATGTTTTTTTCGTCCGCAGGAGATTAACTGGGCTGTATTGCAGCATATGTGCATACATAAGTTTTTGTCTATCTGTTTTACAGCATACTATGCAGTATGCGATGGAACCTGCACCAACAAGTGGGTATCTTTCAAATGGGGACAACACTCCGGAATTTATCAACTTGACCCAGCTAGAAGGACGTCAGTGGAACCAGCTGGATGATGGGACAGTGGAAGTGGTCGATAGAGCACCGAAAAAAGAATACTACCTTAGTCTTCGTCGGCCCATTAATCCAAACATGACTCTGATGGGGACCGGACAACGTAAAGGAAGTTTCTCGGGGTCCTCTGGGCTCGGACCCACCAACGGTGGTGCTAGCGCCTCCTTTGCTGCACCTACAGGTCGATCACCATCACCCGGAGCCACTCTGACCCGAAACTCTAACCCACCGGTAACTAACTTCAAACCGTCCGGTAAAACAATGGATTGTACGGTGGTCATGTTGGATGGCACTCCGCGAGAGTTTCGCATAGATGTGAGTCCTTCGTTTCCCAAATGGAATAGCACCTCAGTAATTGGTTAGAAAATGTTTCGTTAGTACCCCTGTCCGTGATGATGTGTATTTTCACTTTGCAGTCTATTTCGGTGTTTGTATTTTCCACTTTTCGGTGCAGTGTGGCTGAGTTTGCTTCATCCTCTCTTAGTCTGGTTCGGTCACTAGACGTTAATTTATGTTAAGTATGAGGAGTTGGCATAGTCCATGTTGAGGCAGAGCAGTGAGTGATGGCCCTTCGGAACTAGAATTTCAAATGAATCCACAACGTTCCACAAATACGTGTTTATCAGTACCGGAGTTGCTTCAAGGAAGAAGGACGGGACAGCAGTATTCGACCCCTGAGAGACCTTGTGATAAAGATCCTATTTGTTTAAATCAGTCGGTTTTATGGTTTCACGACCAAATGACTTGGTCAGAATTTTCTCCGAGAACAATTTGCACTGAACAGCTGTACAGGTTGCTACAGCGCGTCCAATTTTGCAAAACCAGGGAAAAGTTAGACCGTTCAGACTTTCCCAATCTGAGTATGTTCTCGGGCGTAAGCTATTCAGTCTTCTTCTTTTTGTTTGCTCTGTGTGGTTTCTTCGTTTTGACCACGTGACGTGGTGGTAGTGCTTGATGTTCCTGCTCGCCATATTTTAGTGGTTCATTGCTAACCTGTTCATGATTTTTGCCTTTCATACTGAGTCGATTCTACAGGCACCAGATTTAAGTGCATATCCAAAAGCTTCGACCGGCTCAACGCAGTCGAGCTCGCCAACGTCCAGTTGCTTGAAAAAAAGTCATTCAGGGGCGGTGGCCAGTACACGAGCAGAATAACTGAATGCACTAAGCTCTCGGCCGCACTTTAATCCCCATGTTTCTTATGCTCTGTTGTTCACGACGTTACCGGAACTTCCAATTTCACGAAACATTCCAGTGAACCCTCCAAGAGGTCCACCTTAGTGTCCCACGATACCAGTGCACGATTCTTCTAGAGGAAAAGCCGTACCCTCCGGGTAGTTCAGCTGCTCTGGGAAATTAAATTACCTGCGTGTGATTTCACCTAAAAATCGCATTACTGTATAAAACGACGCACTTTGTCCACCGATTTTTCTGTGTTTGGTTCTCCTTGCTTTGAACTCCCTATACTACTGATAAGTCGGTTTTTCCCCTCATTCCTCTAAAGCGTGCTGCCTATGGTCAACAATTGTTCGAAGCTGTCTGCGCCCATTTGGCTCTGTCCGAGGTAGAGTACTTCGGACTCACCTACTATGATTCGTCCAACACGTGGGTAAGTGATGATGGTCATCTGCCACCTCATGCACCCTACACGTGATCCGTATCCACCTACTCAGTTTTCGAAGCTTCTATCACCGTCTACCGGACTTGTCTTTAGGACAACGACAGCGCTCCTCTTGTTTTGTCGAGTAACCCCTAATTCCACCTTCCGCTTGACTGCACGCACTCCTATAAATCCATTACTCACTCGCCACTTTTTCAACAGTATGTGTGTGTGTTTTGTGTGTTAAATGGCGCTCGTTACTCGGTACTACCCCTCACACAGCTTGCATCTCTACCAATATGCCTCATTTCCTCGTGTCAACCGGTCCAACTTCGATACAGCTCATTAATCTACTCTAAGTGTTTTTAAAGCAGGTTTTCAGGAAATTTGCCTGATCCAACAACACCCCTGACTATCTTCCTCCGATAGATTGACGTGTGCGCGTGTCTCAAAACTGGCATAAACTCTACTACGGTGGAATACGTGTGGGTAGAAAGTGCCTGGATTACTGGCCTAGACTGAAAACCAGCCTCCCATAAAATCGGCCAAGTTTCGAATTCCCATCACCATTAGAAGGCGAGGGAAGTAATGATAGCCATTCGATTTGCCCTTCGAGGAGATCATGGAAGTGAAACGTGAGGACAAACTCACTTCCAGAGTCCTCCCAACGACAACTGCTCATGTCAGAAAGAAGTACAGCACACTGTCTCAGTGCGCTGCTAACTGACTGAGGCACCACAGCTGTTGTCTTGCGGAAGGACCATATTCTTCATTTGAGTAGCATTCCCGGGATGTGGTCGAACATTATGTGATCTGTTCCTGGAAGAGACATCTTGTCCACAGTAAACGGGCTCTCTCACTGTCCACAGTTTGTGAGTATCGGGCCACCGATTTTGCCTGCCGGAAAGCCACCTTCGTCACAGAACCCCTTTTACCCAGTCATTTGCGGAACGGAGACGATCAATCAATCAACGAAGAATGAAAACCCCAACTAGCGAACCCACTGGCATCAGTTACATCCCACTGGGATCCCCCGGACGACACGTGTCAGTGGTTAGTGACCGTAACAGATACGACTGGAAACAACGACTTTGCCGCACGAAAACTGTCGGTGCAGATGTGTAACTATTTCACCCCCCGGTTTTTTTTCAGTAGCAGATAACATCTCGGTTTCAGTGAACAAGGCTGTCCATCGTCTCGGACGCTTTCCGTCGTTCTCGCTATCCTTGGGGACAATCTGTTGTGGCTTCAACCAGGGTAACAAGTGAGATATATGGTGATTTGTGGTGGTCACCTGGTTTCAGTCTGGTTCAGTGCCCTTGTCAAAACAATTCGCCGGTGCAGTAAACGACCAAAGGCACGACATGTCTGTCGGCTGCCACCGTTCCCCAGACATCTGTTGTGAACATATGTGAATGTTGTTGTACAGATGTGTTTACCGTGCAGCTCAGTTTTGCGCGCCGTCATTGTTACCTTTGCAGGTTTTCTTGTATTGCAAGGGCAACAGGCATGGGTTACGACTTGCTGTGCGAGTTAGATCTTTTTGAATCGTAAGAGGTGGTGATCCGGAGCACGAGCGTTGCTGGACTGGCTGCTGCATCAACGCACCTCCGAACAGACGTCATCAGTGTGCTGTTGTTCCCGCAAATCTTCCAATCAGGCTTAATTCGCACGGTTGATCAACCTTTGCTCGTCAGTTCGCTCTGCCACTCAGTGCTTTCCACTCTGTACTTCATACATATCTGTGTTGATCGCCTAAATAAAGACACGTAGTCTCGTGGGAGCAAATCTCTTCTGCTTGTCGACGTACCAGCCAGATGTGAGAAGTTGACTGGTGAATAGGCGACGTCTGTATCACGGTCATTTGTGTCCTCAGTTGTGATTAGCTCGATTGTATGTGTAATTCACTTCAGAATTTGATAAAGAACAGTGAACAAGATTGACAGACCATCTTGGAGGGGTGTATGGAAATCCCGGACGCTGCCGGAAATCTCATCCTGATTTTTGCACGATTCGACCACTGATACTGGGCACTCCCGGATTCTTGGAATGAACGAAGTCGCCGTGAGTTTTGGAGAACTTCCTCCTTGAATCTGAATCAGAAACCACAAATGGGACATTCGTACGGATCAGGCTACCAGGCACCGGGAACCCGTTGTTTAAGACAACAAAATTCATACGAAGCTCCACAGTCAGAGACTAACACTGCCGTTGGGTAGATACTCACAATCGATTGGATGGGAAAGAACAAAATGGAGAGAAATCCACTAAATATCGAAAGGGGCACTCCTCAAGGAAAGTTGAAAATCATGCGGACGAAAGTTTGTCTTGATATGTGACAGGCTTCTTTAACATCCAACGAGAACCATCGCCTGTTGTCCAACCAGGTGGACACCCATGCTAAGTATTTCGTAATGCACTACTCATAAGGTTGCTGGAAATTCGTCGACGGGAGATTCAGTTGGGTTCCAGGTGATTACCCTCGCAAAACCCAAATTATTTGCAAATGAGTGTATTTCACTGGTTTGAGGTTGTTTTGTTTTCAACGACATAGGTGGAGGTTATCCATGGACCGTCTCTTTTTCATCTGCACCCATCTGATCGATGTATGGTCAATAATACCCGATAATAGAGCCGTGAACTCGATATCTGGAGCACAGTCGTCTAGCTCTGGGGAGGTAACGATCACCTTGGAGCAGGAAGATGAAGTATCTCTGAGGGGTTGGTCCCCCGAGCGTGTTGATAGTTGTCCGCTGTCTTGTTTCTCGGTCTTAGGACCAATTGCTAAGACAATGTTTACGATGGTTCATTTCTGTTTGTTCACCCAGTTGTACAATCCCCTGTTTTGTTTTCCACCCGGCAGTTCTGGTTGAATATGCGTAAAAAGATTGCCAAACAACTCCCAAGTAAGTCAGTGTGGTGATTTGTAGACCTCTGCGTTTTCCTAACGCTTTGTTGTAACGCTTATTTTCTTACGCTTGTTTACATTCCGATGGTCGTCTGTCTGCGGCTGTAATCAACCACTGTTTTACTCATTGCTAATTTTCTTCTGGGGGGGGGGTGTTGCACTATTTTTTCGGTCGCTGCTGAGGTTCGGGTGACTGTGCACTTGACAAACGCAGGCAACCGCCTTTTGTGCTGAAGCGTCGAAATTTGGTTTTATGACTGGACGGTCGTTGCGACCAGGAGAAAGGTACCATTGCGCGTCGTATTTGCGTGAGACTCGTGAACGTCTCTCTCTCTCCTAGTCTGCCGAGTGCATTCGGAAAAGTAATCAATTCGCTGAGTCATGCCACTAGCTCAACGGGTATGCAAACTGAGTCAAGCGGAAGACTCGTGTATGCGCGCCCCGTCATTACGTGTTGTGCGGGTGGCCATTCCTGCGGCTCAAATTTTGAAACAGGCCGTGACTAGTCCCTTAAAAGCAATTCTACTGTGGGTTTGTCGGCACCAGCGTGACACTTGGTCGTCGAATAGGTGGCTTGGCGAACAGTCACCTGATGTACAATTAACGCACACAATGTTTCGATATCAGCTTCACACTCTGCCCCGACAAGACGTGGCGCAGACCGCGCGGTCATACATGAAGCATAATAGCTGAACCCACGTCTGCACTGAAGCTACGTCTTGGTGGGCTCTCGTTTGATCTTGATCAAGCTGGATCGCGTGTTGTGGCGTGGTTTTACCATGTAGCATCTGATCCAGGGCAAAATCCGGGCCAATATAGATCACAAGTAATATCTGAGTTCGGGGGCGATCGAGGCTACCCTGTCGAGCGTAACTCAGCACAGCCGCCGTACACCTAAGTGATTCCCTTCAGTAATGAGTAATAAGGATCGTTCAAGTTACTGACCACAGGAGCAGTGCCATCATTCCTCAAGGGTGGTTTTGTAACCAGATTTCGCACCCATCACTCGTTTTAACCCGATTGATTCGATTCGGTCCGATTTCATCGTGGGTTTTATCTAATTTCACTAATAATAAGACGTAATAAGCTCAAGATGGGCGAACTGTTCGCATCAGACTCTAGCATCTCGACTGCTTCTGTCCGATCTTGGGTAACCTGACAGTATCTCAGCCATTGTGCTTCTTTCGGATGAGGTATGGTCAATAATACCCGATAATAGAGCCGTGAACTCGATATCTGGAGCACAGTCGTCTAGCTCTGGGGAGGTAACGATCACCTTGGAGCAGGAAGATGAAGTATCTCTGAGGGGTTGGTCCCCCGAGCGTGTTGATAGTTGTCCGCTGTCTTGTTTCTCGGTCTTAGGACCAGTTGCTAAGAAAATGTTTCCGATGGTTCATTTCTGTTTGTTCACCCAGTTGTACAATCCTCTGTTTTGTTTTCCACCCGGCAGTTCTGGTTGAATATGCGTAAAAAGATTGCCAAACAACTCCCAAGTAAGTCGGTGTGGTGATTTCGTAGACCAGTACGTTTCCCTAATGCTTTGTTATAACGCGTATTTTCTTACACTTGTTTACATTCCGATGGTCGTCTGTCTGCGGCTTTAATCAACCGCTGTTTTGCTCATTGCTAATTTCCTTCTGGGGGGAGTGTTCCACTCTTTTTTCGGTCGCTGCTCAGGTTCGGGTGACTGTGCAATTGACAAACGCAGGCAACCGCCGTTTGTGCTGAAGCGCTCAAATGTGGTTTTATGACCGAACAGTTGTTGCGACCAGGAGAAAGGTACCATTGAGCGTCGTATTTGCTTGAGACTCGTGAATGTCTCTCTCTCTCTCTCTCTATTAGTCTGCCGAGTGCATTCGGAAGAGTAAACAATTCGCTGAGTCATGCTCAACGGGTATGCGAACTGAGTCAAGCGGAAGACTCGTGTATGCGCGCCTCGACATTACGTGTTGTGCGGGTGGCCATTCCTGCGGCTCAAATTTTGAAACAGGCCGTGACTAGTCCCTTAAAAGCAATTCTACTGTGGGTTTGTCGGCACCAGCGTGACACTTGGTCGTCGAATAGGTGGCTTGGCGAACAGTCACCTGATGTACAATTAACGCACACAATGTTTCGATATCAGCTTCACACTCTGCCCCGACAAGACGTGGCGCAGACCGCGCGGTCATACATGAAGCATAATAGCTGAACCCACGTCTGCACTGAAGCTACGTCTTGGTGGGCTCTCGTTTGATCTTGATCAAGCTGGATCGCGTGTTGTGGCGTGGTTTTACCAAGCAGCATCTGATCCAGTGCAAAATCCGGGCAGATATCGATCACAAGTGATGTTTGAGTTCAGGGGCGATCGAGGCTACCCTGTCGAGCGTAACTCAGCACAGCCGCCGTACACCTAAGTGATTCCCTTCAGTAATGAGTAATAAGGATCGTTCAAGTTACTGACCACAGGAGCAGTGCCATCATTCCTCAAGGGTGGTTTTGTAACCAGATTTCGCACCCATCACTCGTTTTAACCCGATTGATTTGATTGGGTTCGATTTCAGCGTGGGTTTTGTCTAATTTCACTACTAATAAGACGTAATAAGCTTAAGATGGGCGAACTGTTCGCATCAGACTCTAGCATCTCGACTGCTTCTGTCCGATCTTGGGTAACCTGACAGTATCTCAGCCATTGTGCTTCTTTCGGATGGCACACGAACTAGGCACCGAAAGGGTGTTACAGCTGAACAGCTGCGACCATACGGACTATACGCGCATCATTTGTGGACAGTGAAGTGGTTTTTAGCGATGCTTTTGGAGGATGTGAGAAGCATCGATCTATAGGTGCGTGGACGGTGATGTCAATGAAAGGTTTTTTTCGGTCCGTTTGCCTGCTTCGACTCAGCAAAGTCCTAAAACAGCCGAAACAGAAGTAAACTGTACTGTCTGAGGTTTGGATCGATACAGTTAGGTTAACCGATTGTTTTATCTGGTAAAAGTTGTCCGTTTAAATAATCCCAGGGCGAGTATTCGAAAAAAACAGTCTACCCGGGCTATCTGTCATTTGACACGTAATCAGGAAACTCCGTCTTGGTGGTATCTCTTCCAGTGTACCGAGTCTCCGAGACTTAATGCCAACAGTTGCATTTTCGTATTGCGTGCTGGAGGCTTATCCACCTCGAAAACCGAAAACGTAAAAGACGCAATTGTGAACCATACGGAATTTTCCTAAACACGTAAAATTCTGTACTGTTCTAGGTGGACCGCGTTAGCCGTGTTGACTGCCTACGAGGATTTCGCTTTTAACGTTTTTAACCACTCAGTTCGCCGTTTCAATCGCCTTATCGCTGCTGTTGTTGACCAGCTTATGCTTGTTTGTCCATCTGTCTGTGTGCGTCCGTCACCTTTTCTCGGATTCCACGCGTTTACGGAGTGCTGTGTGGAACCTAACCCAATAGATTCCCAACTTTATTTGTAGCACACCATCTCTGTACTTCTATTCTCTTCTGCCAGACGGTGTAGTCGGTCAAAATACTGTTTTATTGGTCTGAAGTTTTCAGTATGTCTGAAACGACATTTGGTACGTCTGACCTGGCCTGAAAGCGACGCCTTTTTTCCCTATCTATCTGACTGTCATAATAACCCGTACTCTGTGAAAAGTTTCATTTCAATTCTACTTGGAAAACTTCTTCCGGTGTGTGTTCCCCAACCAGTTTGCAATAGGAAATGTGGAATTCGCGGAATATGATTGCTTCTTACGATGCGTGTTCCCCAACCGGTTTGCAGTGGGAAATGTGGAATTCGCGGAATATGATTGTAAGTTATGAAGTAAAGTAGATGTTCGTCACCGTGTGTGGGTGGATTTGTTGGCTTTGTAGACGCAGACACGGTGCCTCTTATTAGTGGACGAAATGGTTCGCCGTAAACGTCACTCCGGCACACACACACACACCCTAACTCCTGCTGTTTGTGAACGAGTGCGTGCTATACGATAAGATCTTCGACTGATCGACAAACGGATGCACCAAGACGGTGTCCGGGTGTGTCGTTTTTTTCTTTAATCGAACAGCATTTCAAGGCAATCCATGTGTCAGCAGTTTTGGACAGCTCGTAGACCCTTCCAGACTGGAACGTCGAACAAGATACACTGTTCCCCCAGTCAGTGGGAGCGGAAGTAAAGGCTCCTTCCTAGTTTCTGGCTGTACAAAACCACGTGTGTAATTGCCAGAAGGTGCGAGTTGACAGTCACTTTCAAGGTGATCGAATCTATACTGTTCAGTTTACGTTTACTCGCTCAGGGTATACATGACCAGTGGTCAAACAACTCACTGCAGAGCGAGGATGAACAGGGACTGATTTGCGAACATCAGTGTTCCGTGTGTGTTGTTTTTGTCAAAGACAACATCACGGCTGGATTGGATTCCACTTGGAGAATTTAGAAACCCCAGGACATCGGTATTCTACGTTTGAAAATTCTGGCGTATTTTCCTTTATCTCTAGGTCTTTCGCATGTATTTCAATGATCGTCCGTGCAAATCTCGTGTGTTGGTTCGCCGTGTCGCTCCAGCACACACACACACACACCTTAACTCCTGCTGTTTGTGAACGAGTGCGTGCTATACGATAAGATCTTCGACTGATCGACAAACGGATGCACCAAGACGGTGTCCGGGTGTGTCGTTTTTTTTTTTAAATCGGACAGCATTTCAAGGCAATCCATGTGTCAGCAGTTTTGGACAGCTCGTAGACCCTTCCAGACTGGAACGTCGAACAAGATACACTGTTCCCCCAGTCAGTGGGAGCGGAAGTAAAGGCTCCTTCCTAGTTTCTGGCTGTACAAAACCACGTGTGTAATTGCCAGAAGGTGCGAGTTGACAGTCACTTTCAAGGTGATCGAATCTATACTGTTCAATTTACGTTTACTCGCTCAGGGTATACATGACCAGTGGTCAAACAACTCACTGCAGAGCGAGGATGAACAGGGACTGATTTGCGAACATCAGTGTTCCGTGTGTGTTGTTTTTGTCAAAGACAACATCACGGCTGGATTGGATTCCACTTAGAGAATTTAGAAACCACAGGACATCGGTTTTCTACTGTTTGAAAATTCTAGCGTATTTTCCTTTATCTCTAAGTCTTTCGCATGTATCTCAATGATCGTCCCTGCAAATCTCGTGTGTTGCATAATTGAGAACCAGGCGATGATAAGCTGCTGCAAACAGCTGATTTGTCCCTTGGTGTTAAATCAGCTTTCACGATTACTGGCTGTTAACACGTGATTGGAAACAAATCAGGCTATTTTGTAATGCACTACTCATAAGGTTGCTGAAAACTCCTTGACAGCCCAGCAACCTTATGAGCAGTGCATTACAAAATATATTGGGTATCGCGATATCTCGAATATCGTAGCGATTGAGATATGAGGCGGCCTCGTGCAGCGCATTCAGTTGCCTGAGAACATCACAAACGAGAGATTCAGCTGGTTTCCAGGTGAGTCTCTCGAAAAACCAAATTAGCTTGCAAATGAGTGTATGTTCGCTAAAATCAGGCTATTCTCTAAGTGAGTCGTATTTCGGTTCTGATTCGTTCTGTTGTGGTAGCGTGCGAGATGGAACGAGCCCTGGAGTTCTTCTTCCACATTCATTTGGTCACCAAGCCTGTTGGGAACCGTGATCGACTGATTGACTTCATGTTTCCATGGGGAGTCTGAACTGTGGTTTCCCCAAAGAACGTGAACCAATGTGGATGCGGGATGACACCGTTTCTCACTTTCGCCACATCTTTTGTCTACTTCCTGCTCACCCTGATCGTCCGGTACAGAGTGACCACTGAATGCCAGCTGAGCAGATTAATGGAATTCTTAAATCCGGCGGAGTTCTAAACTTGAAGCCTTGATTTCCTACATAGAAGTTAGGCAAACATCGTTTTGGTGTTCTTCAAATCAGGAAAAACACATCATCGTCATTGTCAGCTGTAACAACCGCGTACTCGTCGTACAGTGGTTGTAGCTGCCGCAGTTTCGTTCACCGATGATTTTGGGGGAGGAGTAGTTAGCTGCACATTGCAGACAGGAGATGATAAACTGGTGCATAAATCCAGCACTGTCAGTGGGCTGTCAAGTGGGGAAATCGGGAAGGGAGCTGTGCATTGAGTGCCATTGAGGGCGCGACTGGGCCATGTCTGACAATGTCTCCAGCCACTGATGTGGACCGTCTCGGAGTCCTCATCCAGGAAGCCAGCAGTGACCAGCACAGCTGAATTTACTGCTAATGGCTTTCATACTTCGCTGCCAAATCATTGTTTGACCGTTTCTGGCTCTCTTCCACCCTTCACGTGGTTGTGCGAGCTTCGGGGTGGTGGAGTGTTCCTCCCTTGGGGAAAAAGACGGGAGCCTATGCGTTCAGGGGCCTTTGAAACCACCCTAACTGAGCATTCTGTTTCAGAGTAGCTGCTCCGGGTAGTTGCTGATTTTACTAGCTCATCACGGATCTTATCAACCATGTAAACAGGAAACCGTCTGCTCGTCACTAGAGCATTTCACGTGCCACAATGTTTACAGCAGCGTACCACATGAGTTCCAGGAATACCATTCAACATTCGCTTTGACACATGTTGCCCTATCCTCACTTGTACACCGTCTTCCTGATCAACTACCATTGCTGTCCAATCTGTTTTTGATGCAGCTACACCAACCCATCTGCCTAGTGTGTATGTCCCTTGTTTTCCATTAGTGTTGCTGTTTTTCATATTGTTCCTACTTTCTTCGAAGATTCTCGTCTTGAGTACGCTTTGTACCAATAACTGTGTCCCATCTCTCCCACACTCTTACAGAGAATGAGTGGCGTTGTGAGTTTCAAGTTCGATTCTATCCCTACGATATCGATGGGATCAAGGAAGACCTGACGCGATACTATCTATGCCTTCAGGTCAGACAGGACCTTGTTAGCGGACAGTAAGTCCTCCCCGCCCCCTCCCCTCCCACACACACAATCCAAGCCTTGTTCCACAGATTTGTTGTGTTTGTTCCCATGGTCCAGCTCGAGCTGTCCGAGCATTTCTTTAGGACGAATCCCTCAATTTTAGCATTTGTCGACCGCGTTATGAAGCTTCTCTGGTGGTTACCACTCCGTTTTTTGTTCACGACAGCCTCTCTCTGGTCCTTACACAGTCTGATCTAGGCAGTCTGGGGGATTCAGAACCCCAGTGAGATGACCCAAGTGGTTAGATCGCGAATTTACTGACCGGAAGGTCCGTGGTTCGAACTCGCTCACTGCCTCTCGATTCCCCCTGTCTAGGCTTGGGCAACTTGACAGTATCCCAGCCCTCGTGCAACCTTCGGGTGGCATAGCAGTTAGGCACCGAAAGGGTGCTACAGCTGAACGATTCTTTTACTATGTCTATCTATACTTCATGCATCCGCAATAGAGAGTTTATGGTCCAAGAACAATGGTCGTTACGCATTGCAACCAGTAATTTGAGTTCCCTGGCACTATTTGATTACTGAGTGAACAGGTGAGCAAGAATCTCTGCACATCTTGGCGCGGCGATGGAATGTAAACGTACAGACCAACCGTATTCGGACAAATGTTCGATCGGTTGCATCAAACAGCTTGTCTCCCATAAAACGATCCTGTCCACTTATGGCTGATTAGATCATGCCTTTTGGGTCTTCCATTTACCTTAGCCTCAAATTTCTCTATTTTCTCGAAACGGTTTATTTTTGTTAAACGTCTGCATCTTATTTTGCTCTGCTTCACTTACCAACGACCAGTCTCCCTAGGTATAGACGTAATATACTACTCATGCGGTCGCTGAAAATTCTTCGACAACACAACACGACTGATCTCGCGTTTCTTGGGACTCATCAGGTAGACACAAGTCTCCTGCAAAACCAAATTGCTTTGCAGATGAGACTATGACTTATTATCTCGACTTGGATATGGTACTCATAAGGTTGCTGAGAACTCCTCGACAGTGTATCTCTTGTATCGTCCTTCTTGGAGCGGTCCCCGAGTTACCGCTAACCATATGTCCGGCTTTCATTCATCTATCAGATTCCTTGGTTTACGAATCACCCCTCAGGATCGACGCTTATTTGGTTCCATCTTTTGTGGCTTTTAGTCCTCCGCAGAGGAGGTGATCACGTCAGAACAGCACAAGCGTCAGACTGGATGTGAAGTTTCCATTACGCGACACATCCGAGAATAGTGTTATTCGGACAGATTTGTACAGTATATCTTTGTAATGTACTACTCATAAGGTTGCTGAAAATCTGTCGACAGCCCGCGACTGGTTTCGCCCTTTTTGGGGGCTTATCAGGTAGGCGCAGTCTCCGGGTTTCCGTCAACCTTATGTTCTACTTGAGAACATCACAAACAAGAGATTCAGCTGGGTTCCAGGTGAGTCTCTCGAAAAAAAAGCGAATTAGTTTACAACTGAGTGTATATTCGCATATTTGAGCAGTTTTCGAACCCATTCCCCTACGTAAACCGTATCCAGGCTACCCTCGGAACTTTTGTGTTTTCGAGCCTCCCCTTGTGGGACGCTTCTCATTTTTTCCTTGTTTCTCCACTTTTAATCGCCACTCTTCCCATTTCGCATTTATTCTCCGACCAGTCATGCGAGTGATTCCATCGATTTTCCATGTGCAAAAGGCTTGCGTTAAATGAAGCCACTTAGTGTCAAACAATTGATGGACTGAGCCAGGTAGATGCAGAGCGTACCTGTGAACTGTTGTTGAACTGCTGTTCAAGTGCTCTGAGAGCTCACTTACCGGACATGTTTGTTTGCAACGAAGCACTCCAAGGTGAACAATTAGCCAGTGACCTCAGCGATCAACTGGTGTCAGGGTCCTTGTTGGATGGGCGTCAGTCAAATGATTTTTTATCTGTTTGTCACACTTGAGTCGTGTGAAACGCGTTTGTATGGCATCCATACTTCTGTGTGTGTACGTTGACGTGGATCAAGTTGCTTCTCACTTGCTATGTGAGGTAGCCATTGGTAGGAATTCGTAATGCGTGTGCACGTACGCACTATGCGAAGCATTCCGCAATTCGTGGTATCCAAATTGAACTCAAACCATAAATATTCATCAAAATTTGCTTGTCCGGGAAAGAGGCCATCACACGAATTGGTGTATAGAATACGATAAATCCGGTTGCTGCTCACTGTTCCGTTTTATGGTCGCTTGTTTCTGCCTCGGTAGGAAGGATGTGACTTGCTTTCTGCACCCTTTTCCCCGGTAGCAACGACGGCGATAGTCAATCGATGCAGCACTACACACTGTGTATTCAATACGTATTTATGTATCGAGCATAAATTTGCGTTTTGATATCAAGTCGGTCCGCATCCCTGATTGCCGAGCTTCTGCTGTGTTGTCTCGAAGTAGCTCAATGGTTAAGCTGGCCGGGAGGTTCGAACCCAACCGGAGCCCTCGGCTGCTTTTGTTTAGGCTTGGGTAACCTGACAGTAACTCAGCCCTCAGACTTTCCTCAGTAGGTATGGCATCGAAAAGTTGTTACAGCTGAACAAATGTTTTTATCTGTCATCGAGGTTTACTCATTGTTACGTTTCCCCGAAACAGGTTACCTTGTTCCTTCATGGTCTACTGTCTGCTGGGCGCTTACATCATCCAATCGGAAGCCGGTGATCATGACCCTGCACAGCATGTGGGCATTAAATACATACAAGACCATCCTTTTGCGCCTCATGTCCTGCAAACTCCGGAAATGTTGGAGCGGATGGTGCAGCTTCACAAACTCCATCGGTAAGTCCATGAGTTGCTGAAGTCTCAGTGGTCGTAGCGATCTGAACAACCGGTCCCTACTTTTCCGCCATCGTCCCTCTGGTGTCATTGTTAGTACAGCTCATGTATAGTTATAATGAACGAAGAGATCCGCTGGACAGACTTCAGTCCACTCCAGCATAGTGCATTTTTCGATTCATCCCCCATCTACACATGCCTTACTAGTGATCCCGTCCCATTTTAGCGGAAAAACTCCACAAGAAGCCGATCGTTTGTTCCTTCAGAACGCGCGATGCCTCGCTCTGTATGGGGTTGACCTTCACAAAGTAAAGGTATGTTCAGTGAGTCTGTCTTGCTGAAATTTGTGCGTTTTGCCATCACATTAGCGCAGCTCGCGTAGGGCTGTAAGGTTGGCCTTAACAAATTAAGGGTACGTTCAGTGGGCCTCTCTATCTTGAAGTCGTCAAGTTACCATTGATCGTTTTCACTACTCATTCGAGAGGGCCACGTTGAGTTGCGCGCGAAACCCCGAAAGTCAGCTCGTTCAAATGCGGTAATATGAATACAATAATAAAGCAACAAAATTGTACAAACCTGGAATCGTGGGATGACGCCAGCTTCTACACACCAGTTTAAAAACCGCTAATTCCAAATTGGTTCCCATACAGATAGGAAACGTTATGCCTACCCGAATTTGACATCTACTCAAGATAAACGGCCACAAGATGACCAAGCCCATGTAGTTATACTAGACTGGGCGCGTGGTAACCGTCAAGAGCGGCTCAACTTTAGGTCACAGCAAGAAAGGGGGTATAGAAGCATAAAAGGAAGAACAAACTCGGAAATACACAATGAGAATACAACAAAAAGAATCAACACCAAACCCCAGAGCCGTCATGGCATTTCCTAATCTAGTAGCTCCATGCGCCGCATGCAAGAAATGAAATAAACCGAAAATGGCACTATTGCTCTAGCTGATAACGCTTCTTTCATGCACCTGGGGTGTTTGAACAGCTAGTTATCTTCTACTCCCAGCACGCGGATGTGACGTACATCATGCCTAACCTTAGCAGATATAGTCGCTACTAACAATTGCCGAATACGACCATCACTTTCGAGCTGGGCCCCCACTGTGATGTCTGAAACCACTCTCGTGATCTCCATGATTGGAGCAACCACGACCTTTGCCAGTGGCTCCCGTCGGGGAGAAAAGCTCCGACCCCCCTCCATTATGGGCCACGGTCTCTTCTGTCTTGGCTTCAAAACTCACTTTTGGATGGTTTTTTCACCGGTACCTCTTCATGGCTGAAATCCTTTGTCCCCTCGTCTTCTGATCCAGCGCTCTCATCTTCCCCATCGTCGTCATCATTTTCTTCCCCCTCTTCAGAACCTTTAACGACTTCAGGGGTAACCCCAGATTTTCGAATGGTATGGTCGTTGTACTATGGATTGCCACCGTGCTGAAATGTACCATATGCTTTTCCGTGCGTTTGCTCTTTTTACCCTTCAAATCCAGTTCCCCTGAGAACCTGAAACTGTTTCCTTCTTGTTGGGAATTGCGCATATTACTTCTCCTGATCAAACATAGCATCCCCAGACCACAAAATGTATAAGCATGCAGCTGTTGAGATACCAGTGACTAGAACACTGTCTTCCAAATACTCGTACCCTGCCTGAATCACCTGAGTTTAGATAGTCTTACACTTGTTCAACTGAATGAGTTTTAGTCTTTACTGTCCTAGTTTTTTGCGTCGATGTGATCAGCTAAAAATCCAGTCTTTAGGTGCATAAACCTTGACAAGCCGAGTCGGTTTGCTTTGGTTCGATAAGCTACCCGCCTCGCATCCGCACGAGCATGGCAAAAACGACTGCACGAAAGCGGCGAGTTCAATCTTGGCAGTCGTGTATCGAGACCGCTCTGTAGGGGTTCAGGGCATATTGCGAAGTATGGCAGCCTATTTAACTCTAGTTTATTGGGTCGGTTGACCGTTTCTATCGGAAGAAAGTCATGTGTTCGAGAGAGACTCCACTGAATCTCTCGTTTATGATATTCTACAACTGAATGTGCTGCACACAGACCGCCTCATGTTTCAGTTGGCACGATATTCGAGATATCCCAGTATGTTTTCATAAAGGAAACTACTCACAGGGTTGGGGGCGAGATGACCCAAGTGGTCAGAAGGCGAATTTACTGACCGGAAGGTCCGTGGTTCGAATCCGACCTCTGCCTCTCGACGTCCCCTGTGTAGGCTTGGGCAACCTGATAGTATCCCAGCCCTCGTGCAACCTTCAGGTGGCATGGCAGTTAGGCACCGAAAGGGTGCTACAGCTGAACAATTTAATCGCAAGGTTGCTGAGTCAAAGAGTTTTCAGCAACCTTGTGAGTAGTTTCCTTACTGAAAAGTCATGTGTTATTCAGCGCATCTTGACCACTCTGCCTAAATGGCAAGTCTATCCCAGTCACTGCCTTTGGTGAGTTTCAACCTACTCTCGGGACTATTTTGGTGTAAAGTTATGCTTGTCGTTTCGAAGGTATTGAGATGGAGAGATGGTGAGATTCAGTTTGTTAGCTTTCACTTTGCAAATCAAACTTTCCTGGCGTCCGATAGGAGGTATTTTTAGTTCACCATCTCACCTGTCATCGTCAGGCTTCAGGTTCCCTCAGTTCGAACCTTTGTCTCCTCGAGTGGCGGCGGGTCGAGCAGAGCCTGTTTGCAACAGGCGCCTAGATGGATCATTTGTGGGACGAAACGGATCTCATTTCCCACTGGTGAACAAAGACACAATCTCCTGATTGATTCCCCCTTTCCTCCTACTCACACACACCCTCCTCCGTACCCCGTTCGATTTGTGAAGGAAACCGACTAATTTATGGCAACCAGTAAGACGACAAAACGTTGTTATCCACCCTCCGAATGATTGTGTCTCTTGTTCCGCGTTCGTTACAAGAGACACTGTTAACCACAACAGCAACAACAGTGGACAAGAAACAACAATAACAACAACGACAACCAGTACGGCATTTTTCCGCTTTCAAACAAGTATCGTTGGGTAATCAACACACCGATGACGGGGTGTGTGTGGAAGATACCGCTGAGCGTAGTGTTTTCGGAACCGCGGTATTGTTCATTTGCTACACACATACATGCATACATACGCCAAGGCTACCAGCAGGTGACACATTCCATTATCGTAAGATTTATGCAATGAAGATTGGAAGCCGCTAGAAAAGATACTTCCAAATGCAGACGTCTCCGACCATGTTCCATTTGTGCCCTGTGTAGCTAGCTCTATCGCATCATCTTGTGCGCATACGGTTTTCTCATTGCACTTCATTGTACACCATCGTTTAGTCATACATCACTTTTATCAACAATCAAAGCTGAACGTGGGTGCGAAGCTAAACTCGCACACATTCGGCTGTCTTCGCTCGGCGTTCAGATCGTCGATCTAGGTTCCACTTAGACTGTTGGGTTCGCGTAGTACGTTCGGCCACTTGTTTTCCAACGTAAATACGTGTATACACACGCCCGGTGAACAACGAGTCACATCGACCTTGTCTGTATGGTATTTCGCACCAGTTCGAAAGGACCGCCCCGACTGTGCGCGCTCGTGCACCCGCTCCGTCCAACTCACTGTGTCTGCCCAGTTGACAGCGTTCGGAAAAAAGAAACGACCGTGTCTTTGTCACCGTCCTTGGTGTTGTTGTTGTTGTTCTTTGTACGTGAAATGTTTGTTTAGGTTTGTTTACCTTGGTCATTCGAACTGTGTGCACATACTTGCGGGCGCCTACACGGTTCGGCAGCTGCGCACGACCCCTGGAGGAGGGTGTAGTACGCAATATCCACTTAATATATAGAGTGCACCAGTCCGTGGTCTATCCGCGTTTTTTCTCGACGGAACGAACGGCGCGAACTGGTCCGACAACTGGAATCCAAAGAATCCGAAATAGTGCGAAGTATGGAGCTCGAATGAGGCTTCATAACGCATTTGGACGTATGGTCAGTTCGAACTTGTAGTCTCAATCATCCGCGAACTTCCAAGGTTTTCATGATAGAACGGCCCGTTACTCGGCTCTCTTGCTGGTGTAGTCCTCACAGATTCGATGAGTACCTGAAGCACTCGGTTCCGTAAAGTGCCGTTGGGCAAATACGTCAAGAGTATCGAACCACCAAACTCAACGCAACGGGTCCGCCGGTCTTCCGAATTGCGGTCAGTCGGTCGACTTCTGGTGGTCCAAAGTCAACTGGGTGCATAATCGGCCCGTTCTGACTTGAATACCCCATTTTCAATCAAAGGGACACATAACGGGCGCTTCCTCGTTGTCTTTCGGTCGAACTAGGTCAGCCAACCCTTGTCGAAGTTCTACATACATAGTTGTCTTACTGAGTGACAGTGGTGTGACCACAACTTGACGGTGCAAACAATATTAAATAATCGAAATAGTTCGGCCTCATGGCTTGGCATGCGCTTCTCATCGGCAAATGCTACTCTAAGACTGGGTGGGCTCGGAACCTAACCTCATGCTTGCGGATGAGCCGAATGAGGTAATGGACAAATTTTTTCAACCTGGACAGTTGTATCAGTCTGGATGGTCTCGCAGGATCAAGAAAGCCAGAGCAGCTTTTGTGAACCTCCGTCACCTTTGGCGTAGGAGTGACATCAGCTTCTCTGTTAAGGGTCGAGTTTACAATGCCGCGGTGCGCTTCATATTGCTACATGGATCAGAAAACCGGCCACCGCGCGCCGAGGACGTCAAAAAACTTTCAGTGTTTGACGATCGATGTCTTCGGAGCATTGCCCGAATCTGGTGGGAACAGCAGATCAGCAATGTTGTTGAAGTACTTTAAATGATATTCGGAAGAAATAACTCACGCACGATAGATGAAACTGATCACACTGCATGGGTTGCTCTGGCCGTATGCCAGCTGACCAACTTCCTCGAAGGGTTCTTTTCGCACAACCACGTGAAGGGTGGAAGCGAGCAATGGGAGGTCAAACAATGACTTGGCAGCGAAGTATGGAAGCCAGTACTAGCAGACTCAACTGCGCTGGTCGTCGCCGTCTTCCTGGATGGGTACCCCGTGCCGCGTTGCATCAATGGTTAGAGACCTTGTCAGACATGGCCCAGTCGCGCCCTCCATGGCGCTCATGCATACAAGCTATTTCCTTTTAGTGCATAGCCCCCTTCCCAGTACCCCCCGCTTAACAGTCCACTGTATGTACACACCAATCTATCAGCTCCAGCTTCCAGTGCGCAGCTGCCTACCCCACATCCCCAGATCATCGGTGAACGAAACTGTGGCAGCTACAACCACTGTACGACAAGTACGCGGTTCTTATAGCTGACAATGATGTTGATGATGACAACTTGACGTTTTCAGATGGCCGTCTTTCTGTGTCCAGCTCTTAGATCACAAAAGGCTAAGATATGTGAAGAAGATTCTCCTGCAATGCTAAATCCAGTGAACTTCGACTTGAATAGAGACAGCGATTTGCCATAACTCCATTTGAATGTACTACATCGCCGTTCGACTGATGCGATTGGCGTCCTGGCCATCCGCAATTCTTTCTGCGTCGAACCTGTTTGTTTGCTATTCTCAAGACTAGCTGTCAATGATGCCTCGTTTTACGAGGGTAGTATTTTAGTTTCCAACCGCGGAAGCACATTTCTCTTGAAATGCTGTTTCATATATGAATGCAGTCGCTGTCCCATGAACTTGCCAAGTGGGTGAGATTTTGCTGTTTAGGAGAGTCTCGCCCGATCTGAGTGACCGGAAGGTCCGTGGTCCAAACCCGACCCCGGCATCTCTGCTGCTCCTGTCTAGGCCGGGGAAACCCGGCACTATCTCAGTCATTGAAAGGGTGTTACAGCCGCACGATTATTATTATAACGATTATACTGTCTTCCGAGTATTGGTCTCTGCTCAAGTTCTTCATACAGTATGGTTATTCTTTTGATTATTCCCATAACTCGTGTTTAGGATGGTTCACCGCTTCGTTCTTAATCAGTGCGGGACCGCTGTTTGTCATGTGTACTCATTGTACCTTTCCAGAATAGTCAGGGCAAAGACGTCCATTTGGGTGTGTACCACGGTGGATTCCTGCTCTACCGCAACCGTATCCGACTGATGCACATTTCCTGGCCCCACATTATCAAATTTTCCTATCGAGACCGAACCTTCATGATCACCCTCCGTCGACCTGACACAGACCCTTCCGATACCACCCTCTCCTTCAAGTGTCAAGGCGAGACATTTGCCAAACGATTGTTCGATGTGTGTGCCGATCACCACGCTTTCTTCCGGTACGTCCAGACCGCCCCCCAGGAGCTCCTACTTGTTTCTTCCATCTCTTGAGTTTACTGTACTGCCTAGGCTGTTGACTGTCCCACGTTACTGCTGACTCTCGACATTCGGCCATGTGATTCGTAGGATTTTTTCGTCGATCATGCCTTCCGATTGTAACTAAAAGTAAATCTCCCCCTAATAAGTCATCATACACTATCTACCCGATCGAACTAACCTCTTCCTTATGTTTCCTCCCTCTCATCTCCACAGGTTACGTGGGTCAGCCAGACCGAAAAAACCTAGCTTTCTTCCTACCTTCGCTACGCGTAAATATCACTTCCCCAGCAGTTTGGTATTTTCCCCACCCTCACAACCTTCGATGAATGGAGCTCAGCGACCACAATCCCAGTTCCGCCCCGTCCATATGCATCCTCAGAATCCGAGTAAGTGCTTTTGTCGTATTTGTTAGACTTGGCTTACCAGATTCATGAATCGCTGGCAACTCAATTTGATAGTGGGGGGGGGGGGTTGTGAACCGACCAGTCTTGTGAACATACACTCATTTGCAAGCTAATTTGGTTTTTCGAGAGACTCACCTGGAACCCAGCCCAGTCCCTCATGTAACCAGGCCGCCTCATGTTTCAGTCGCTATGATATTTGAAATATCGCGATACATGTATACCTTTGAAATCGACTACACTTAAGGTTGCTGAAAATCCATCGACAGCCCACGACCGGTTTCGCCCTTTTGGGGCTCATCAGGTAGGCGCAGTTCCCGGGTTTCCGTCAACTTTATGTTCTACTTGAAACCAAATTGCACGAAATTAGCGAGTATACACTCATTTGCAAACTAATTGGGTTTTTCGAGAGACTCACCTGGAACCCAGGTGAATCTCTCCTTTGTGATGTTCTCAGGCTAGTCTCGACTAGTCTTGTGTTCATCCTCTCGTGTTGTATCGGAATATGTGCTGTCTGTAAACTGTCTTCTACCGTTAGGACAAACTGGCCCATGTGGATGGGTGCTACTGGGGGGTCCATCGACAGCCCACGACCGGTTTCGCCCTTTTGGGGCTCATCAGGTAGGCGCAGTTCCCGGGTTTCCGTCAACTTTATGTTCTACTTGAAACCAAATTGCACGAAATTAGCGAGTATACACTCATTTGCAAACTAATTGGGTTTTTCGAGAGACTCACCTGGAACCCAGGTGGAATCTCTCCTTGTGATGTTCTCAGGCTAGTCTCGACTAGTCTTGTGTTCATCCTCTCGTGTTGTATCGGAATATGTGCTGTCTGTAAACCGTCTTCTACCGTTAGGACAAACTGGCCCATGTGGATGGGTGCTACTGGGGGGGGGGGGCTCCGGACTCAACAAAGATCCATTTGACTCTACCTGGTCAGTGTCTGTACACACCATTGTGACCTTTGAACTCCGAAATTCCAGCATTAGTGACATCCTTCGACTGACAACTTGGTTCCCTCCCTCGGATTTAGACCCTGACTGATAGGTGACAATCCCTGGAGGTGTGGCTTTCCCACACCATCTGGATCCAAGCTACTTAATTTCCGTGCTTCGCGATTCGTCACGTCCACTCCAATTTCCCTTAATCGCATTGCGCACGAATTCAAGTTCGGTCAGTCTATCGATCGGTTTTAGCCAGCCCAATCTGACCAGGCTAGTCCACCTGATCCAACTCTCCCGTTCAAACCAACACGGATAATTAATGATGCCGAGTTTGCTTTTGTTTTCCACTGATTGGATATTGTCTTAATTCCAGTCAGCAGACAGCCAGTCAATAGATTGGATCGATAGCCCAGCCTACACTACTTAGGGCTGACTGTTTGGATACCATGCTCCGCTTTTATTGTCCTGTAGCTTAAATTTCGCCCCAAGCGCCACACCCATCTGCGTAATCATAGCGGTGTTGATGACGAAACCTCAGTTACCTGATCTGTTACGAATGCTCTTATCTTATTTTTTAGTTGGTTCTCGTCAATGGATTGATTGTTTCCTCCTCTCCCGGATCCGTTTCTTTGTCTTGTCCCGTACTTTCTTGCACGCATGTAACCGGAACTAGAATCACTCAACATAAACCTCTTGCGGTTAGGACTCATTGTGAATTTATACCTACATTTGGCTGATAGGTTTTATCGGTTAGCCGTGTCACTGTTGATCTGGTGGGACGCGTCTTTCTCCCCTTCCTTGTGCTCCACCTGATATGACAACTGACTCCAACTGGTCCGCTGTTTCTCCCCACAGCAATCCATTAACTGATTATCATTTGCGATAGTCGACTTCACGTGACCTAAACACGATTGCTGTGAGATTTTCCGTTTCGATTCACCTCCGGCCGCACATGATTGATATTGACAACCCAAATCACGTCCGCCCTGCTATTGCTGGCAACCGATTCAAATATTAGTAGTGATTGGAAAATCCTGATTATGGAACTGCGGAATGTGTAGCTGCCTCGAGATCCCATTTTGAGGGGAACACTGTGGGGGTAGTGTGCTTGCTTGACCACTTTGACGGGGGGTTCATCAGGCGAGCGTAGTTCCCACAGTCTGACACAGTAGAGCCCATTTATGTGATTCGGTCTAATGCCATTGTCTTCAGTTTGTAGCTGGGATCCCGGTTGCAGCGCTGGAGGTTGATGAATTTATCAGTTTCCTACGCCGCAGTACAGGACAGATGTGCGTTCCTGTCAGAGACATGTTGCTTCATAGAAAAAAACCGTTCAGCTGTGACACCCTTCCGGTGCCTAGCTGCCATGCCACCCGGAGGAAGCACGAAGGCTGGGATACTGCCAGGTTGCCCAAGCCTAGACAGGGGAAGTCGAGTGGCAGAGGCCGGGTTCGAACCACGGACCTTCCGGTCAGTAAATTCGCGCTCTAACCACTTGAGCCATCTCGCCACCGTTGCTTCGTAGACAGTTATATGTTTGTTTTTAAGTCAGGTTGAGGGCAATGTTCGTGAGTGCGGGCGGGAATATGAACACCTTACGATATGCCTGCCATCTTTGTGAATTTCCGCTACGTTATGTACGCTCCCCTCGTAACTACCTTTTTCACCGTTTATTTAGCTTGAATCGAATAGGAACTCGTGTATAACTTGAACCCTGTTTCATGTAGTCCTATTGCAATGACCATACTGCCTCAGCTCAGTTCCCTGTATGGACATTCTAAGCGCTTTCGGCAAAACAGCCACCCAAAGTACACAAAGTGTGTTAAACGCTCAAAACCAGATCAAAAATACATGTGCAGCGCATCGTATTTAACAAGTCTGGAGTGACAACATTCTGGAAATTCCTTCTAGACACACCATTGACAACCGACGTTCGGCAGATACTGAAACATGATTGGCTGCTGGGTCCGCACTCTCGGCCAATCAGCGCTCGCCTTGATGCTGGACCGGCAAGTGGCCCGATCCTGTGATTGATCACCTGTGGTTTGTGGTTTTATCAGCGCCTAACCACCAGTGGTAAAGTGGTTTTGGTGTAAGATTTCACCTAACACTTATCTGGCTATGAGAGTTGATTGTTAGAGGACTGCTTCATTGCTGTATCCCGTAATCATACAATGATGGGCTATTTTTCTTCATTATTCTGTTTAAATTCCTAACTGCTAGTAGCAGTAGTTCTGTCAGTCTTCCCAACATGCATTCTGCGCCCTGGATATCTCGATCTTGCGACACAATAAACCGCACTTTTAATCTGTGAAACGGCACTCCCGTGTGGAAGCATTTATGAATTTCGTGATGGAGTTAGGCAACCGAACTATTCGGTCGTGAGTTCGTGCCATTGTAGCATGTGAAGCTTCTCCGTCTGTCGCTCCAAGCGATCGTTCTCCTGGTACAGTGTTTGTGGGGTAAAATCAACACCCCCTTCGGGGGCTTTTCAAACTGAGCTCGAGATAGCTCAGTTGTGAAGGCTCAAACTGAATGACTGGAAGACCTGTGGATCGAACCTAAACCCGACATCTCGACTGCTTTTGTCCGGACTTGGGCAACCAGGCAATATCTCAACCCTCGTGCTTCCTTTGAGTGGCACGACAGCTATACGCCGCAAGGGCGTTGCGGCTGAACGATTATTGATTATTAAAAGTGGCTAAACAGAACTAGGGATTTAACCCATCCATCTGGGTAAGGGCTCGAGATAGCTCGATGGTTAGGGAGCGGTTCGTGGTTCGAGCCCGACATCTGTATGTCGACTTCCCCTGTCTGGGCTTGGGCAACTTGGCAGTATCCCAGCCCTCGTCTTCATTCGGGTGACGTGGCATCTGGGCACCGAAAGGTTGCTACAGCTGAACGTTTTTTTCTAAGTAAGGATCTCCACCTAGAACGGTGGGGGACAACTGGTGGTCCTCTTGTCGTGTTTACCTAACCCAGCTGTTATGTCTCATCATCATGGCCTCCACATCATATCTCATCTCCATTATCATGAAGCTGCCCCACGAACAAATCATTGACTGGCCAGTTGCATACCACTCTTTGCTCGACAGTGGTAGACGCCGAGCTAACCGAGTTGACAACATGGGTTCATATGGGATAAGGACAGCACCCCTTGACGTGCTTTTGCAGTTTGGAGACCCGTAGGCTACTGGTAAGAACAGTCGCTTTTGTCCCGACTTGCCTACGACCCAACTAACCTTCATATCATCTCCAATAGTCTTGTAGGTTGAGCAACTCGTGAGTGCCGCTCATAAAGCAAGATTAAGAAACTGATTTCCTGCAGCGTGGATATTAATTCACGCGTAAAGGATGCAATCCTTCAACGCAACTGGCAAAGTTTTGTGTACCGGCTTTCTGTTCTCTTTGTCAATACTTTTTTTCATACTCTCCTTTCAGATTGGTTTACTCTGGCCCGTCCGGGAGAACGTAAGTCTCAGTGATTTATTTGAAGTTTTAACAACCCTACGACCAGAACAATTTTTCTCTGTGCTCATAACGTGACAATTTTATCCTCTTTTGATAAAGTGTTGAAATGTGCCTCTGGTCAACTCGAATCGCCTCAGCAGGCCTGAAATAATCGGCATTCGAGCGTTCAGGTTTCACACACATGTTGGTGCACTTTCCCCCCTTAGTTCGACTGTTATTCCGACACAAAAGGTCAATGAAAAGTACACAGTCACTGTGTCACATGCCGTCTGGGTAGAGCACTGAGTAGGTTACGTAACTTGTCGCATTAGCGAAATGGCATTTGTGTGAATGACCTCTGCGTAACGGTTACCCGTATGAGCTACCCGACCGTCGTTCCTTGTCGGTCCCCTCCAGTGCTCATCCATGTGATTGGCCACAGCTGACGTACGTCACACACCGTCTCCCTAAGGCTTTAGCCCTGGTCACATTTGCATGGATGCTTTGCCGGTCCTACCAGAGTAGTTTGTCTCCATCAAACCGTGGCTATTTTAAACGTCTTCATTCAACCACATTGCTTCTGTGCCATAAAGCCTCGCTAACCTACCAAGCTGGTCCAGCTTCACTTGACTGTCTCCGGGCCTGTCTCACTGGCGATCTCCAGAACTTTCCTACTAATTAACAAATAATCGGGGTCTTTTACCTTTATACACTTGGATATTAGGCTCAGATACAACCTTTCTTGGTCGATGCATGTTGAAATCGCAGTATACTTGCATGAGAGAAACTGGTCACAGAGTTACTGAAAATCCATCGACAATCCACCATCTGTTTCGCCCTTCTTGTTGCTCATCAGCTAGGCGTAGGTCGAAGGGTTTTCAGCAACCTTGTTGTGAGCCATTACCTCGAGATACGTTTCTCTTGATTCACTTAGATTCAGGTAAATTTCCGCTCTCCGCAACACCACCCTTGTTCTCTCCACTACTACTACTATCATTTATTTTTGAAGAGCACGGTCACAAACATAAAAATGAATTCAAGCAATGAATGCGAAAGAGTAACAGGAGAATATGGGAGAAAAGAGAGAAACGTCTCATTCGAAATCA